ATACTGTTTGTTTGTTTGTTTTCCCCCCAGGTCTAGAATTTCTATTTGGTTCTTTTATTGTTTCTCTGCTGAAGTTGTCCATATTTTGAACATTTTCCCCATCTTTTCCTCTGAATTTTTATTATAATTATTTTAAAGCTCTTATCTGTTAATTCAACTGAAAGTCTGCTTCTAGTTACTATTTTACTTGCATTTCTTGCTTCTTAAAGTATCATGATTTTGATTAAATGCTGGAGATTGTGTTTAAAAATACAGTGGTAAATGAAGTAGGTAGTATTTTTTAACTTTCAGAAACTTTTTACTTTGAGATAATTGTAGATTCACATTTACTTGAAATTGTTGTTGTTGTTATTTGCTGTCGAGTCGGCCCCGACTCATAGCGACCCCACCTTGGGTTTCCGAGGCAGTATCACTACGGAAGTAGGATTGCCAAACCTTCCTTCCGAGGAGTGGCTGGTGGGTTTGAACCGCCAGCCTTCTGGTTAGCAGTCAAGTTTAGGAGGGGTCGCTAGTTGAAATAAGAGGCTAATATTTACCTGTAGAAAGGGCTTGCTCTTCTTGGAGCAGCTAGGGTAAGAGTGTGGTCTTTCTAAATCTAATTTTGAGTTGGGTCAATGTAGTATTGCAGCTTTAGTTAGTTTTCGTTTACCAGTGGTTACAGTGTCTTGAAGTTTGGGTCAGGCTCATCCTACCATTAGGACTTTGGGGTCTAAGCACTGTGCGATTATAGAAACCTCTCTGCTTTCCAGCCCTGCCCCCAGCTTCCACATCACCACTTGCACAGCAGATGTCCACAGGAGAATTGGTGCATGGGGAAGACTAGCTGTAGATTTGGGGTTCCTCCAGATTCCAGTCTGCCCCACCAACCCAAATGTGGTTGTTAAATGTCTGACAGGTTTCTTCTTATCCTGACAAAGTTTATCTGCCTTTGGAGGCTTACTCCCCCACCTCTTCCATACTACAGGGATGAATCAGCACTTAATGGTTGATCCCATTCTGTAATTTAGTTTTATTTAGTCCTGCCGCGGACCGAACCAGCCAGACCAGGGAGTGAGGTCTACGAATCAAAGTGAAAAGTGAATAGGGAGTTGGCGATGGCTAACAGAAGACAGACAACTCTTGAGATTGTCTGCAGCTGAGAGTGTTTATTATGCTTCAAGGCTATGTTTTTATTCTCTTGTTACTTCCTCTTACAAGTCTCTATCTTAGGTCATCTAGTGCACATGAAACTAGCAGGCATAACCGCAAAAAATCAAAGCAAGGTTACAAATCAAAGCACAAATTCATTCCTTATTTTTTACAACCAAAAACTACTTGTTCCCAATCATATTCATATCATCCAAAAAAGTAATTCCAAGTAAGCTTTATGCCACATTATTCTTTTTCCTAAATGATTAATCCATCGCCTACCTTGTTCATCATATACTCCTGTAAATGGCAATAGCTCTGGAGTTGTAGCAGATAATTTATACATATTCTTACTCCCTTTCGGGGGTCGCCACAATTTCCCATTCCCCAAATCATACACAGGTCCAAATTCAGTCATTACTGTTGGAAGTATTTTTCTCGTAGGTTTTTTCTCGGTGGTACTTCTTTTGGAGCGTCCCTTTAATTCCTGAGGGGATTCTTGTGTTGGTTGGAGAAATTCCAATAAAAGTTCTTTCTATTCCAATTGATTGAAGGAGTCCCCTGGAGTCATTTCTGTTCCTTTAGGGAGTTCACTAAGTGTACCAAATAATGGAACATCCGTATTTCCTGGAAATCTTTCTTTTGTCTCTTCGTCCACATCAAGTCCCCCTCCAGGTGAACTTCCTGATCCATATTGTACCAGAGAAGTCACCTCATAACTATTTATAATGATGGCTAAAATAATTATTAGCAATATCAAGGAAAAGCAAATAAAAATAAAGCCCAGGAGAGCTTGCGTCACTCCAGGAAGCTGGCTTTCTTTAAGCATTTGCTTCAGGCTGGTGATCATGTCACGCAGACCACACTGAAGTGGGCGTGGCATCGTCTTATTTGCATTTACAACTTTTTGATAGCTTTAAGTAAAATATGGTTATTTTTGTCTATTCATTGTTCTCTCATTGTTACAGCACAAGTGATGTTCTTTCTTTACTGTATCTTAACCAGAAGCTGAAGTATATGTATGTCTTTCATTAGGTTGGGATTTACTATTTTTCATTGTGAAAAATACATATATACAGTAAAGTATACACATCATACAGCTAATTGTAAAACATGTTGATATATCAAACACCTGTTTACCCAGCACTCTGGTTAAGAAATAGAGCATTAGCAGAACCATAGAACTTTCCTGTGTGCCCATCTTCAATTGCATCCTCAACCTTCCAGGGGTAAGTTATATCTTGATTTTGCATTATCATTCCCCTGGGGTTCTTTATATTTTTTCCAGCTTCTGAACTTCCTAACATATGGACTTACACTGAATATGTTCTTATGTGACTTGCTTCTTTAACTAAATGTTATGTTTATGAATTTGTGTTGATTAATATAGCTCTTAGGAGCCTTGGTAGCATAGTGCCTAAGGCACTTGACTGCTAACCAGAAGACTGGTGGTTCAAACCCACCAGCCACTCCTCGGAAGGAAGGTTGGGCAATCTACTTCCATAGTGATACCACCTCGAAACCCAAGGAGGGGTTGCTATGAGTTGGGTCCGACTCAGTGGCAAATAACAACAACAGTATAGCTCTTAGTTGTTAACTTTCATTACAGTATAGTATTCCATTATATGATTATACCATAATTTATTTATCCATTCTTTTGTGATATACATTTGGGTGTTTCCAGTTTGGTATCATGAGCATTGCTGCTATGAATGTTTTTGGTTAATTTTTTTTTTTTTTATTCCATCTTTTTTGCCTCTTAACAGCCACTCCTCAGAAGGAAGGTTGGGCAATCTATTTCCATAGTGATACTGCCTCGGAAACCCAAGGAGGGGTCGCTATGAGTCGGGTCTGACTCGATGGCACATAACAACAATGACAACAACAGGCATTGGTAGTAAACTGACACCTAAGAGACACTGATCTATGAGAGATAAAGATGGAAACCTCCATGTCTTTTATGATTTAATCATAGAATTCACACATCACTATTTACACAATAAAGAGCTCTGGTGGTGTAGTGTTTGAAGCATTTGGCTGCTGACCAGAAGGTCAGCGGTTCAAACCCTCCAGCAGCTCGGCAGAAGGAAGATGGGGCAATCTACTTCTGTAAAGATTTACAGACTCAGAAACCCAACAGGGTTCTCTATGAGTCAGAATCGACTCGAAGGCAGTGAGTTTGGTTTATTTACACAATTCTGTATTGGTTCCATGAGTCAGCCCTATTGAATGAGAGAAGGGACTACATAAGGGCATGAATTAAAAAAGGAGATAGGGATCACTTTGGGGCTTTCTTGGAATCCAGCTGGCTTATCAATTGTATTACTTTCCTAGGGCTGCTGTAACAAAATTCCAACAGAGCTATGTTCTTTCTGAAAGTGCTAGGGGAAGATCTAGCCACACCGTTGGTGTCCTCTGCAGAGCATGCTTTCTCAATTTTTACAATATGGACAGGCTGAGAATGTTCCAAATCTTCAAGTTCTGCTTTCCCCAAGACCTTTAAACATAATTCAGCCAAGTTCTTTGTTACTTTATAACAAGGATTGCCTTTCCTCTAGTGTCCACTAACATATTCACTGTTTCCTATTAAGGCCTCATCAGAAGCACATTTAATATCCACATTTTTAGCAACATTCTGTTCATGATGATAGAAAATTTCTCTATAGCTCACCTCACTTCTTTCTGAGCCCTTACCAGAATTGCCTTTAATACCCATAATTCTACCAACAATGTCTTTAAATCAATCTAGGCTTTTACTATCAAGTACCTTAAACTTCTTCCAGCTTCTACTCATTATCTAATTCCAAAGCCACTTCCACATTTTTAGGTTGCTTTTACACAGCAATATCTCACTTCCTGGTACCAAAATCTGTTTTTAGTTTCATAGGGCTGCTGTAACAAAGTATGGTAAAGTGGGTGGACTTACACCCACTTACTTTTAAACAACAGAAATTTATTGTGTCACAGTTCTGGAGTAATCAGAATTCAGTAGCCAGAATTCAGGGAGTCAGCAGGGCCATGTACTCTTTGAAGGTTCTAGGGAAGATTCTTTCTTGTCTCTTTCAGCTTCTGGTACCCCTAGGTGTTTCTTGGCATGCAGATGCATCTCCAGATAGCTGTCTTTCCTCTGTCTCTCTGTATCTAATCTGTTTTATAGGACACTATTCAGATATGATGAAGGCATTTGGGTGCTAACCAAAAGGTTTGAACCCACCAGCTGCTCCACAGGAGAAAGATGAGGCAGTCTGCTTCCATAAAGATTTATAGCCATGGAAACCATATGGGGGCAGTTATACTCTGACCTGTAGGGTTGCTATAAGTCAGAATTGACTTGATGGCAGTAGGTTTATTATTATTATCATTATTACTCAGATGGGATTAGGACTCACTACTGCAGTATGATTTCATGTAAATATATTCAAAGACTGTTTCCAAACAAAGTCACATTCACAGCAACTGTGAATTAGGGCTTTAGCTTATCATTTTGGAGGACACCCATCAATCCATAACACCAGCATTAAAGAGAATGCTTCTAAATGAAGAATAGTGTCTATTTTAAGTTTTGATATGATATGGCAATTATCAATTTAAAGAGTTCTATTCTATTCCTGGTTTGTTGAGAGACTTATTATTAAAAAAAAAAAAAGACAGATGTGGATGGGGCAATCCCCTGCAACAGCCTCACAAGCAGATAATATGTGATAGACCTGCATGGTCAGAAGCAAGCTTTAGATCTCTCCCCCAATCTGTGTGATAAACAGGAAGTATTAGCCTACCACAAGCCTTCTATGGCTAAACAGCTCTGGAAAATAGCCCTTTCTGCCTTGGGGGAACAGCCACTGCAATTCATTTTTATCCTTTTTTCCTTGCAGTGCCTAAGACAAAGATTTTGGCTACTGGAGGAGCATCTCATAACAGAGACATTTTACAGGTAAGTACCAGTAGCAGGCCCTGTACTGTGGCCCTTCCATGTCTATTACTTCTAGGAGCCAGAGAGTTGGCAGGAAGGACTGTCTCTGCTGCCACTCCTGTGGGTATGGGGAGCTCACACTCTGTTGCCTTACATTTCACACTGTCACCAGGTTCTGTCTTACATTCAGGTGAAATCTGCTGCCCTGTATAACTGTACTCTGATATGAGCACTGCCCTCTGGAGTGACATGGAAAGGGCCCATCCTTCCATGTGGTGAACCTTCTAGCATCTCATATTAGTGTTCTTGTCTCCCTTAAGACTTCTCCCCTTCAATGTAAACATCTCTGATTCTCCCAACCATTCCTCTTGTAACACAGTTGCCAGACATTGCCACCGTCCTTCTGGTGTTCTTGCCATTATGCTATAAATATATGACCAGGCATGGAATCAACCTGCAGATATCTAACACTCAGGCTGTCACATTGTGTCTGTGTTCTTACTGGAACACCACAACTTTTTGGATGTAGTCTGAGGCTGCCTTAGCTATTTGCATCAACTATTGACTTGTAATATACCTGTTATACATAAGATTCCCCAGAAGCAGAACCTGAAATGGGAATTCTCAGTAAGTGATTTGAGAGAGTGCTCCCAGGAGAATGAGAATGAGGGATTCAGGAAAGATCAACAGCAGAAGAGGAAGGAAAGATATGGTGTTGGCTAGAGTCTGCTTTGACCTGATCCCATGGGGGTCTCTGGAGCATGAATTACCACAGGGTTACCTTGTGACAAGAAAGCCAACTGGCTGCAGTGGTGAGGCATGAGCATAACCTCCTGTGAGAGGCGGCCTGTGCTCAGCAGAGGGCAGTTCTCTTTAGGAGGGGCAGCTCTGAGCCACTCGCAGTCAAAGCTCACAGCACATGGGGAAGAGGTACACACCAGTCCAGCAGAGGGAACCTGCACAGGGCATCAATGGCATGTACTAAAATAAATCTGTTCACCCAAGACCCCCAGCTCTTTTCCATTCTAAATTTAAGTAATTTAATTTTTGACCCTAAATGGAAAACTCTATCTTTATCTCTATAAAACATGCTCTTTTTTGTTTGAGTTTGTTTGAGCTTGTTAATATTCTGATGTCTGATATTCAACTATCCCCAGCTCTAGGCCAGTGCCATTTACTTACTGAGTCTTCTGTCTTGTTTTTGATGAAATGGCAAAACAGTGCAGGAATATCCTGGAGAGCTGTAGCCCTCTGTAATATATTTCATAAGTGCTGTCTTGACCCAGTTTTGAGATCCCTTTCATGAGCAGTGTGCTAAGCCCATACCCCAAACACTTACCTTATCAGACTCTAACACTGCTAGGCTACAACACATGTGCCCAACTGCCAGAGGCCCCTAGATGCCTATCACCCAGAACGACCCCTTCCTTACTGTTGTTGTTGTTAGGTGTCATCAAGAAGGTTCCAAATCAGCGACCATATGTACTACAGAACGAAACACTGCCTGGTCTGGTACTATCCTCACAATCGTTGTATTTGAGTCCATTGTTGCAATCACTGTGTCAGTCCATCTCATTGAGGGTCTTCCTCTCTTTTGCTGACCCCCTACCATACCAAGTATGATGTCCTTTTTCAGGAGCTGGTCTCTCCTGATAACATGTCCAAAGTATGTGGGGTGAATCTTGCCATCCTTGCTTCTAAGCAGCATTCTAGCTTTACTTTTCCCAAGACAGATTTGTTTGTTCTTCTAACAGTCTGTGGTATATTTGATACTCATCATCAACACCATAAGTCAAATGCCTCAATTTTTCCTTGGTCTTCCTTATTCACTGTCTAGTTTTTGCATGCGTATAAGGCAATTGAAAATACGTGAGTTGGTCAGGTGCACCGTAGTCCTCAAAGTGACATCTTTGTTTTTAACACTTCAAAGAGGTTTTCTATAGCAGATTTGCCCAGTGCAATATGTCATTTGAGTTCTTGACTGCTGCTTCCATGGATATTGATTATGGATCCTTTGTTGTTGTTGTTTGCCATCGAGTCAGCCCCTACTCATAGCGATCCCTTGGGTTTCCGAGGCAGTATCACTACAGAAGTAGGATTGCCCAACCTTCCTGCCAAGGAGTGGCTGGTGGGTTTGAACCACCAGCCTTCTGGTGAGCAGTCAAGTGCCTTAGGCACTATGCTACCTTGTTGTTGTTGTTATGTGCCATCGAGTCAAACCCGACTCATAGAGACCCCTCCTTGGGTTTCCGAGGCAGTATCACTACGGAAGTAGGATTGCCCAACCTTCCTTCCGAGGAGTGGCTGGTGGGTTTGAACCGCCAGCCATCTGGTTAGCAGGCAAGTGTCTTAGCCACTATGCTACCAGAGCTCCCTATGCTACCTTAGGTCTGCAAAATTATACAAAATACCCAGTTTCCAGGAAGCCCTCAAAATCTGGCTAAACCCCCCCCCCCCCCGCTTGCCGTGCATAAGCCTCCTATAGCTCCAACTTGCTATTACCCTGTTCCCTGGGTAGGACCCCCTGTGTGGCTCCATGTGACATCCTTCTCTGTTTGGAGCTGTAAGTAACAAAGGGTGCTACCTTTCATCTGTCTGGAGATCATTGTGTTGTATCCCGCCATCATCAAAACCTAACAAACACTGAAGCACTCTTCACTCACAGTCTCCCTCAGGACGTCCTGACCTTATTGTTGATAGAGTGGTGGGGACTAGCAGCATGGCTGAGTGCACTTCTTTTAAAGCAGTAAAAGTGGAATGGAAGGACTGGGAAGATAGGAGGAAGGAGAGTCTGGAAAATGTACCACAAAATGTCCATGTTCCTTCTGGGATGACTCAGGACAGTAAAAACCAGTGTGTCCTCTTCAGGTGCTCGCGGATGTGTTTGCTGCTCCAGTGTATGTCATGGACACTGCCAGCTCAGCCTGTGTGGGCTCTGCATACCAAGCATTTTATGGTAGGTCAATGGGTGGGGGGCAGCTACTCTATAAGGGCTTGGGATGCTGGTTGGGCTGAGGAGGGTGGAAGGGCAAGACTGAGGTGTTCCAGTTTTTGAGGGTTTTAGCTTCATTTCTCTCCTCAGCAGGCCAGAAAGCCCAAACCCTCTCTTTTTTTATTCTCCACTTACTGTAGGAAAGGAAGTCAGGGACCTATCTGGAATGAGGCTTGGTCAGAGTCAGGCTCAGCACAGGGATATTGGAAAAGGACATGAGCATGCTTGAGGGCACACAGTTATGTGTCTGCATAGGTGGTGGGCAGGAGAGGTAGATAAAGTCAGGAGCAGCCTTTTTAGCAACAGAAGGAAGTTAAGACAGCAAAGCCTTCAGACCCAAAGAGTTCAGGACCCTGGACAGCTCCATGGAAGCCCTTTGTTCTGGTGCCTGCCTCCCTAGAACTTGAGGTGTTAAAGGAGTCTTTCCAGTCTAGGGGAGTTCCTGAGGGGATGAGGGAGCAGCACAGGCCCACAGGGGGCATTCTTCACCAGTTTGAATCCATTTGTGCTGTCCACTACCTGTTCAGGGATCTTCTCAGGCCGCCATGTACCTCAAGGTTTTTGCCCTTTCCCTCTAGTGGTTCCATTCTTTGAGTAGGTTAGTCCTGACACCTTAACACATCTGTTTAATGTATTTTTTTCAACATTGAAAATTAATCAGTGAACATATCCTCTTCTTAATCACTGAATTAACCTCTTCTTTATTCTCCATCCCCAATCCATGTACCTCCACCACTTCCTGTATCAAGATCATTTGGGAAATTTATTTCCAGATAATTATGTTTTTAATTATATTTTATATCATATTGGCTTTTATTTGCACTTAACTACGAGTTTTTTGAATTGTCTTTTTTTCTCCCTACAATTTCCTTCTCTTTTTCTGTATCTGTGTATACTCTGTTAGAATATACAACCTAAATAAACTTTTAAGAGGCAGTTTGATAGATGATCATTTTCTGAGGCCTTATAGATATCCAACAAAGTCTTTGTTTCACCCCCCAAAGAAGGCTAATTTAGTTGGATAAAAGCTGTAAATTCAAAATATTTTTCCTCAGAACTTTGTAGAATACTGTTCTGTTGCTTCTGGTTGCCTTCAGTGTTGCTGATGGAAAGTCTGAAATCCATTTCATACTCCTTCTGCAGAACTGAGAAAGGAGTTACCCTCTGAGGACTTCACTGCTAGGCTGCACCACATTTCTCTTTTATTTTTTCTTTTCTATGCCCATTTAGTTGCCAAAGGTAACCTGGGGTACTGCCCTGTTCTGCCCTCTAAAACCAAAGTGTAGGCTAAATCCTACCACACCAATCTCTACCTAGTAGCATATTAGCCACTCTGTTTGGAGATATCTTCTCACCAGCTGGTCCTAGGGGTGGATCCCACACAGCCAGTCTATACATTTGAGTGGAGATGGGACTACAGTTATCTGATGGCCACCCCACCACCATCCCATTCCCTTTCCATACAGATCTAAACTGGTATTTTCTAACCTTCTGGTTGGAAAACTGGTCCTCACATCTTCATGGGACCCTCCTTCGCTCTTAGTGATGTCAGGTGGTCCCGTTTGGTTTCTCTATTAAAGGGATACTACTGCTTAAATTGCCTAGAAATTCCCCACTTTTTCTTGCCCACCTATGGCTCCTTTCCTTCTTTTCAGCCCTACTCTTCATTTGCTCAGTGTGTATATAGCAAGTGCTCCTGTATACCAGGCAGTGTGCTAGGCACTGGGGCTGGAGTGGTGACCCAGAGACACACAGTCGTTAGCCTTATGAAGCTTACAATTCAGTGAAGGAGGGACTGTAAACAATCATGCAAACAAATATGTGGCCACAAATTGTGAAAAGGGCTCTGAGGAAATTCAGATGATGCTTAGGGCTGGTGGGTTAGGGAGGGCCTCCTGAACAAGTGATATTTTTAGCTGCACCTTATATAAGGAGCAGGGAATAGGCACATGAGAGAAGAACATTCCATACGATGAAAAGGCTTTGAGGCAGAACAAATTGAAAGACCAGGACAAGACAAACTATGACCCTGCTAAAGAGAGGCCTAAGGAGGCTGGGTAGCACAAATGGTTAAGCACTCAGCTGCTAGTGAAAAGGTTGGTGGTTCTGTCCCACCCAGTGGTTCTATGGGAGAAAGACCTGGTGATCTTCTTCTGTAAAGATCACAGCCAAGAAAACTCTACAGGGCAGTTCTTCTCTGTCACATGGGGTCACTATGAGTCAGAATCAACTCAGTAGTACCTAACAACAAAGAGAGACTGAACTGGACTTTTTTTTTTTTTTCTTTTCTTTTTCTAAACAACTTTATTGAAGAATGATTTATATGATGTAAAATTTACCCATTTAAAGTGTATAATTCAGTGATTTTTAGTAAACTTACCAGGTTGGGCAGCCTTCACTATGATCCAGCTTTAGTAGCATTTCATCCCTTAATGAAATCCTTTGTGCCTGGTTACTGTTTACATCTTCCTTTGGAGTGTTCAGTGACATGAAATGAACTTTCCCTTCTAGGCCTTGCGGCTGAAGCAGATGTATCCTTTTCGGAGGTTGTGAAGTTAGCTCCACATCCCAGATTAGCTGCTACCCCAACCCCAGGAGCTGCTCAGGTGAGAGACTATCTGAATTTGGTCAAAGCATTTGCATTGTGAAAGCTGACTAGGTTCTTTTTTCAAACTGGTAAGATTTTCTTTGTCACCTACGTTAAACTTCATGTGCTCAACTAAAGGGGAAAGCTTCCTTTTTTGAGATTATCAAGAAAACTGAGCAAAAGAAACAAGGTTGTTAGCTGGGATTCACGGGTATTGCTGATTTTACAGCCCAGGCATCAGATAGATTGCTGGGTGTTACTTCATTGCTCCAGGAGCCTCAGGGTAGACCCTTGCATTTCACCGGGCTACAGGAACCATAAAAGACTCTGTCACCGAAGCACAAGATGTGCTGGGTTTCTAGCTCTCAGATCTCAAACTTGGATCCAAGATAACTGTGCAGTGACTCAGGCCAAGAAGCCCCTGTGAAGGCAAACCCCACTTGTCATAGGTTAGATTCCCTGGGAAGCAGATCCTGAGATGTCAGGATGTGGGATGTTTATTGGGGGGGTGCTCTTAAGATCCACACCTGTAGAAGGGAGAAGGTGAGCTGCAGGGCAATCTCAATGGAGCTTTCAGCCAATCCTGAAGCTGGATTTTACCCAGTTGGGGTAGGGAGCCATGGCTTTATACTCTATGTCAACCAGTCATTGTATGTGGGCAACCCAAGATAGGGTGAAGCAGCCAAAGCAATCCCCAGAGGGGACTTACAGCTGAGGGTTGTCTGCCAGCAGCACTCCCAACAGCTGGGAGAAGTTCTTTATTCCTGAAGGAGAATCCACCACAGCACTACTCTTGCAAAAGGTTCCTGCAGCCCAGGAGCAGAGTGGATGTATCTTTTTTTTTTTTTTTTTTAACTTTTCATTGTAGTTTGGGTGAAAGTTTACAGAGCAAATTAGTTTCCCATTCAATAATTTATACACATTTTGTTTTTTGACATTGGTAGCAACCCCCTCAATGTAACATCACTCTTCCCACTTCCTTCCTGGGTTCCCCATTTCCATTCTTCCTTCTTTCCTGCCCCTTCCTGCTGTCTGACTTTTGTTTTGGGGCAAATGCTGCCCTGTGGTTGAGGGTGGATGCATCTTGTCAGGAACTGTAGAGAGTCTAAGAGTTATCCTACTTGTAAGCTAATAAGTGAGCTTGCACCATTTCTTGGTTGCTGGCAGAAGACTCCTGGGTCTGAGACAAAGGCCTTTATTATAGTACAGCAGGCAGCAGGAGCTTCATGCCCTCATTGGTTCTCCCTTGGTCTCCTAAATCCCATGGAGTGATGTGAAGTGGAACCATGTGGATATTGTATAGATAGTATGTCTGTGCCGCAACTGAGGGACCCTGAGCTTAGGAAATCTTAACTTTATAAAGGAGCTGCATACAAACCTGCCCAACCTTTGCCCCCAAAGGAGACATTGTCTTTATTATCCTGGACAGCAAACAAAACTGCCCTCTGCCCCAGAGGGAGACTCTATCTCTATAGAAACAGACTTGAAAAGATAGTCTGAAACAAAAGCTGTCATAAACATGTTGACACACCCTGCAGATCTGTCTCCTAACATATCTTGGAAGCAGCAACACATACTTTCCAGGCGACCAGACCACCCCCACACATAGGTATGGCCAGAGACCTGCACTGATATCAAGGACGTGTAATTCTGATTCTTGTGCTTCTCCCTTACCATGTGACTTTCATGTGACCTTGAGCAACACTCCTTACCTCTGAACCTGTTTCTTCATCTGTGAAATTAATGCAACTTCTGTCCTGCCTACTTTAACCCACTAATTGAGATGCTTCCATAGGTGATGAAGATGAAAGTGGTTTGTTGAGTATCAACCAGTATTCAAGCTGGAGAGGGCAGCTATCAGGACTGGGTCCCTTTTACCACTTCAGGTGTATCAGATAGGAATGCCTTCAGCCATCAAAAACAAGCAAACAAAAGACCAAATTTACTGCTGGTCAGATAGAGACTGGTGAAACCCCCAAGACTATGGCCCCTACTTAGCCTTTGGGCCTGGAATTGAACTTACTCCCATGGCTTTACTTTCAGCTAAACACTAGACAGGCCTACAAGCTGAACACCTACACCAGGGAGATGCGCTCATGAGAGCAATCAACCATGGGAGATCAAAAGAGCAGCATTTGCACAGGGAAAAAGCTAGGAAGGCAGGAATGCATAGGCAGGAAGGACACAGGGAAGGGGTAACCACGTGGTGGATGTGGGAAGAGAGCTCTGTTACATTGTGGGGATTATAATTAGTGTCACAAAACAAAATGTGTATGAACTGTTAAATGTAAAATGAATCTGCTTTGTAAAATTTACCCAATGACAATAAAAAGTTACTAAAAACAAATGAACAAATCAGAATCCTTGGCTCTACTTTAAAAAATGTTCTCATATAAGTATTCAAGTCTGAAGGTAGCTGCCAGTGTTGGTTCACTGGTTCAGCAATGCTTGGGCTCTGGGTCAATTTCCCTGCATTTCTTCTCCACATTAGCAATGTATGATAAAAACATAATGCGAGCCACTGATAAAATTTAAAATTTCCTGGTTATCTCATCTTTTAAAAGGAGTAAAAATAAATCAAAAGAAAGAAATAGGTAAAATTCATTTTAATAATATATTTTCTTTAATCCAGTATATTGAAAATATGGTCATTTCAACATGTAATCAGTATGGAAAAGTAGTAATGTGATGCTTTACTTTTTTTTGTATAGAGTGTTTGAAAATTGGTGTATATTTTATACTTAACAGCACTAGACATATTCCAGTTACTCAAAGGCATACATATTGGATAGCACAACTATAGATGTTCTCCAAATGGTCATAGGATATCTGCTCCAAACATTATGTCACCCCACAACATAAGCAGTATTCACAAGCAGGAATTAAGGGGTGGCTTTGGGTAGAGAAGGAGTCCCTAGGCAGCACAAAGAGTTAAGCACTTGGCTACTCACTGAAAGGTTAGTGGTTTGAATCCACACAGAGACATCTCGGAATAAAAGCCTGGTGATCGACTTCCAAAAGATTGTTGTTGTTGTTGTTTGCCTTCAAGTCAGACCCGACTCATAGCAACCCCTCCTTGGGTTTCCAAGGCAGTATCACTACGGAAGTAGATTGCCCAAACTTCCTTCCAAGGAGTGGCTAGGGGGTTTGAACTGCCAACCTTCTGGTTAGCAGTCAAGTGCCTTAGCCACTATACTACCAGAGCTCCCTCCAAAATATTAGAGTTGTTGAAAACTCTGTGGAGTGCAGTTCTACTCTGAAACACTTGGGGTCACTATGAATCAGAATCAACCCAATGGCAACTAGTTTGGTGGTTTGGGTTTGTAGGTGTTTTTTGTTTGTTTGAGCAGAGTCTCTGCTCACACACTTCTTGCATATCAGGGAGAGAAATAGTTACCTATTCTTTCCAAAGCCGCCACCAGACTACTGTTTGGTCATATAGTCTATCCCCACTGTAAGAAAGGCTAGAGAAGAGTCTGTCTCTTTCATTCTCTCTAGAGGGAGCCAGCAACAAAGAAGGTAATTGGGAAAGCTTTAGGGTAACAAACTGTGGCATCTGCCTCGTTATAGGTAGCAACTACTCAGTGTGTGCACCACCACTCTCCCTGTCTTGCCTGTAACAGAAATGACGAACAGCTCATGGAACTCTTTATCATTGAACCCAAGCGTAAGCTCAGAATCCTTTTCAACACTGGATTGCAATCAGTGACAGCCTATGATTATTGGCACAGGTGACCTATTTGTGGACTGGATTGTAAACAGGGCCACATCCTGTTTTCTTCTTATGGTACTTACAGCAGTGCTTGTGTGGAAACTCAAAACAGTAACAGCATTGACTCCCTCAGTTCAGCCGAATATGGTACTTTCCTCCATAGAGAGAAAACTGAACTCCCTTACCTGTATTCTTTGACTCCTTCATCTTCAGCCTTAAGCCTCTTCATAAAGGGCCACCTGTTATTCTTTGCTCTATTTTACCCATGGGATCTATTTTTCCAAAAGATTTCAAAGCACTTCACAGATGAATGTTCTAAGGAAGAACCAGAACATCACTCATACCATCTCCATTTGGAGGAACAAAGGGATTTATTTCTCTAAGCCCTCCTCAGCAGCTCAGCTCATCATGGATTTAGACACCTGCAGGCTCCTCATGGCTCTGACAGCCTCTGAGGCCCTTCCTGAGCCTTCATTGGCAGAGTTGCCCCCAGCTGCACCAAGATTAGGCCCTAGTTGCATAATCAGTTATTAAGAGAATTGACTGGAGCTACTTAAGTCAAATTAAGGAATATGGGATTGTCATTAGCTACTTGTGGTACTTATGAGTTACATGATGGGTAGAAAATCTGGGTTCCTTGGTCTTAAGTGTCGTTTGTCTTTAACACATGTGCTCACCTGATGTGCACCTAAATTTCTAAAGCAAACCTTGCAGAGCCACAGGTGAAAACCACTTAAAAAGAAAACAAAATAAAAAGCCAGAAAAAGGAAGAATATGGGTTTCTGTTTCTTTCTGGTCCTTTTTCCTTTGGTGGTTTTTTTTATTACATAGCACACTGTGTACATAATTTTATAGTCTGCTTTTTAAAAAATTAAACA